TATATATATCTCCTGTCATTTCAAGAGAGAGATCTTGGCCTGGAAATTGTAAGGACTTTTATGACCTTTAAAGGTTAAATAACTAGAGAATAATGTCTAGCCATAAATTTTGAATTTTGAACTTTACTCAGGCATGGTGGTGCATAACTATAGTCCCATCACAGTGGGAGACTGTAGCAGGTTGATCCCAGCCTAGGCTACCTAATGATTTAGTGAGACCTGTTTTAAAAATTAGAAAGTCATGGGCTGGGGGATGGTTCAGCAGTCTAAGCACCTGCCTGGCAAGCACAAGAACTCAGGTTCAATCCCTGATACTACGTGCAGTGCCAGCCCTGTCCCGGGCCTCCTGAGCTGGCCACTGAAACCAGGCATGTGCTGGGGAGGCTGAAACAGAAGGATCACTATGCGTCTGAGCTGTGTAGTGAGACCCTGTACCAAATACATAAATTAATAAAAAGAGGAAGTCTTGGGAGTAGCTAAGTAGGAAGGCCCTGGGTTCAGTCCCTAGAACTGAAGAAAAAGAGAAAAAGACAAAAGTAAAATAATGATAATTAGAAAATACAAAAAATATGGGCTATTAGAAGAGTATTGTTTTAATTTGTATTTTTCAAATGATCTGTGATGCTGAGCATTTTTCTTAAATTTATTTCCTGTTTGTACCTCTGAGAAGTCTCCATGCATTTCAAATGCCCATTTTTGGATTGGGTTTTTAAGTTTGGTAAATTTGATCTTTTTTTTTTTTTTTTTTTAAGTTCTTTTTATATTCTAGATGTTAGTCTTTTGTCTGAGGAGTAGCTGGTAGAAACTTTTCCCTTTCTGTGGGTTGTATCTTCGCTTTCTTAGTGGTTTCTTTTGCTATTCAGAGGCCTTTTAATTTGATATGATCCTAATTGTTGATTATAATATTTCTCTGTGATCAGAGTATTGTTCTTGAAGTCTTTGCCTACCCTACACCTTTGTCTTTAATAGTTTTACCTATCTTCCTAAAGATTGTTTCTTTTTTTAAAAAAATGTATTTTGTACCATACAGCTTGGATTCATAGTGATCCTCCTGTTTTCAGCCTCCCCAGTGCTGGGATTACAGGCCTGCCTCACCATGCCCCGTCTCTATGGTGGGCTCAGTGCACCCAGGGGGCAGGACCTGTGTGCCTGTGCAGCATGTGGTGTTGGGACTGAACCCCAGTCCCTGTGCTTGCCTAAGCAGGCCGCTTAGTCTGCTGTGCTATCTTGCTGGCCCGATTGTTTCTGTTTTTACATTTAGCTTCTTGATCCATTTTGATTTTAGCTTAGTGAATGGTGAGAGATATGGGTCTAGGTTTCATTTTCAGCATGTGGAAAGCCAGTTTTCTCAGCACGATTTATTCATGGGGCTTTCTTCCAATGAATGTGTTTGGCCTCTTTGTCAAAAATAAGGTAGCTGAGTGTGCTTGGAATTGGTTCCCTATCTTCTGTTGTTCTATTGATCCCTGGCTATGTTTTTTTTTTTCCTTGCTAATTCCATGCTGTTTTTATCACAATGGCTTTGTTGTGTAACTTCAGATCGGGGATTGTGATGCACCCTGTCTTGCCTTTGAATTTTAGAATTGTTTTCTCTAGTTCTGTGAGGTGTGCTGTTGGTACTTTGATTGGGATTCCATTACATCTGTACAACAGTTTTACAAATATGGCTGTTTTCACTCTACTGGTTTTGCCTATCAAAGAATGGGATATCTTTCCATTTTCTGATATCTTCCTTAATATCCTTTTTCACAGAAGTGCAGTTTTCAATGTAAAGGTCTTTTTCTTTGTTACATTAGTTCAAAATATTTCATTTTTCTTGATTCTATTCTGAAAGGTATGGTTTCCTTAATTCTCTCATAGTGAATTTAACTGGTATTTGTTTACATAGAATTTTTATATTTTGATTAAGGTTAGGTAATACTTAGGTATGTAGAACTCTGTCCATTTCTTCTCATTTTTCCAACTTATCAGAGTATATGCTCTCAAAATTGGTATTGATGATCTTCTGGATTTCTGTGGGATCTGATGTGATTTCACTTTGCTCATTCCCACTTGAGGCTGTTCCTTCTTTTTTTGATAAGTTTGGCTAAGGGTTTGTCTATCTCATTTAATCTTTTAAAGAATCAACTCTCCAATTCATTGATTCTTTGTATTGTTTTATTAGTTTCAGTTGCTTGAATTTCTACTCTGATCTTCATAATTTACTCCCTCATATATGCTTTGGATTTAGGTGGCTCTTCTTTTTCTGAAATTTTGTGGTTCAACAGTTGCTTATTTATTTGAGCTTGCTTTTTTTTTTTTTCGGTACTGGGGATTGAACTCAGGATCCTGTGCTTGCCAGGCAAGCACTTACTCTACTGAGCTATCTCCCCAGCCCCTGCTTTTTTTTTTTTTTTTTTTGATGTGGGAATTTACCACTATAAATTTCCCTGATAGGACTACTTTCATTGCATTCCATAAGTTCCAGTATGTTATATTGCCATTATTGTTTAATTGTAGAAGCTGTCTAATTTCATCTTTGACCCATTGGTGATTCAGTAATGTTATTTAATTTCCATGTATGCATATAATTTTTGTCGTGTTTTTTTGGCCATTGATTTCCATTGTGTTGCACTGTGATCTCTTAATATGTATGGAATAATTTCAATCTGTATGCATTTACTTAAGTATGTTCTATGAGCTAATATGTGGTCTGTTTTGGAGAAAGTGCTTATGTGAAGCCAAGAAGAATGTATCTTTTGTTTTTGGGTGAAACACAGAACATCTACCAAGTTCATGTGTTTAAAGGTTTGGCTCAGTCTTATATTTCTTTGTTGATTTTTTGTCTAGTTGATCTCTCTGTGATAGTGAGGTCCCTATTACAATTGTATTAGAGCTTATGTGATTTTTAAATATTTATTTGTGTTTGTTTTGTATAGTTGAATATGCCAGTATTTGGTGCATATATACTTAGGATTGTTGCTTATTTCTCTTGAAATGTTTCCGTAGCAAGTATGTAGTGACCTTCCTTGTCTCTTCTGATCAGTCTTGGCTTGAAGTTCATATTGTTTGCAAATAGAATAGCTACTTCTACTTTTTTTCCAGGTTGCTCTTGCATGAAATATTGCTACCTATCCTTTGACTTTCAGTCTATGAATGTTTCATTAAATTAAATGTGTTACTTGTGTTCAGCATATTGTTGAGTCATTCTTTTTGATATTCTGGCAATCTGTTTCTTTCCATTCACCTTGATATTTGTAAGTCTGAACATCTTTGTCATATTATTTTCCTGTTGGTTCCCTTTTGCCCCTTTTGTTTACTTGCCTTGCCTGGTGGATTAATTCCATTGGAGTTCTTGGAATGGTATCTTCAATGTCTCTTTTTAGAATATCCTTCAAAACTTTTTTAGAGGGCTGACTTGGTGGTTGTGAATTTCTCAAGTTCTTCTTCATCATAGAAGTATCATACTTTTCCATAATTTTTGGAGTCCATCAACCTGGGTTGGAAGTTATTTTCTTTTAGGGCTTGAAATACTTCATTCCAAACTCCCCTTCTTTAAGGGTTTTATGTTAAGTCTGTTACGATTGATTCTTGTGGGTCTTTGCTTTTTTTTGTTTGTCTTTTTGAGACAGCCACTTTTCTCATCACAATTTATTCATGAGACCTTCAGGCTGGCTCTGAGCTCACTTTGCAGCTCAGGCTGGCCTCAAATTCCCAGTGATCGTCCAGCCTTAACCTCTTGAGTGCTGGGATTACCAGCATGTGTCACCAGTCCCAGCCTCTGATGGTCTTTCGTTATAGATGATTTATTTCTTTTCTGTAACAGCTTTAAATATTCTTTGCTTGTATTGGATTTCTGGCTCTTGACTATTACATATCTTTATGTATTTTTTTTTTTTTTTGTCTGATCTTGACTATTTTATATGCCTCACACTCTCAGATTTTTTTTTTTTTTCTTCTGTACTTGGAAAGTTTTCAGCTGTTACTTTTGTGAACAGGTTGCTTATACTGTTTGTGCTGTCTTCTAATTCTTCATTTATCCCAACTAACCTTTTTTTAGTTTTTTTGTATTATCTAGTCAGATTGGTTTTTTTTCTTGGACCTTAGCTATTTTTACGAGGTTTTTCGTTTGATTGATCATCAACCTCAAGACTGTCTTTTTAAAATTTTGATTGGTCCAGGATCTTGCTATGCATCTTGGAGTCATAGTGACCCTCCTAGCTCAGCCTTCCCAGTGCTGGGATTACAGGTATGCACCACCACGCTCAGTTTCAGTGTCTGGTACGGGGTGCAGTACTGGGGGATTGAACCCCAGTCATTGTGCTTGCCAGGCAGGCATTTAGACTGCTGAACTATCTCCCTAGCCAGTAAGGGCATAGTTCTTAAGATTATATTCAGGAGAACTTTAGTTAGACTGATGGTTTCACTATAAGAAACAAAACCGCAAAATATCGATTTATTAGTCCACTGATAATTTAAAATGTAATATTAATGCTGTGACTAAATAGTAAATGAACAAAACAAAAAATGATCCTGGAAAGGTTATAGAAAAATTAATATATCATTATAATTTTACTTATTGTGATTTTTGGTTACTTATAACAGGAATCATTGAAATTATTATTTTTAGGCATTAATCCCAATTTTCAAAATTTACTTTAGGGAAAGATGTAAAAGGATGTTGATCTTTTAGGTTTTTTAAAAAATGTATTTAGTACAGGGTCTACAGGGTCTCACTACGTAGATCAGACTCCTGTTTTCAGCCTCCCAAGTGCTGGGATTACATGCACCCACCACCATGCCTAGTCTCAATTGCTGTCTCAGTGTGCCCTGGGGGCAGGGCCAGCACGGTACACCGGGGATCAAACCCTAGTAGGTCAGTGTACTCTGCCTAAGCAGGTGTTTTAATCTGTTGAGCTATATGTCTGGCCTGTTGTTGATCTTTTAAATCAATACATTTATAATTCATTTATTTACTTCTTTATTTTTTATTTTTTGAGTTAAGGTTTCACTGTAGCCCAAGCTCACCTTGAAGTCATGGTGATCCTCCTGTCTCAGTTTCCTGAGTGTTGAGATAACTGGTGTGTACTACCATGCCTGATTGCATATATTTACAAAAACAGCAAAAAGCATTGAAACCAGTTCAAGTACCCAAAATTATAGTAGTTGATGAAATATAATGGCTATTATTAAGTATGAAAGTTAACTAGCGTCATGACAATTTATTTGCTAAATAGTAAAATAAGATGCAAAGTTTAATGAAGGCTATATTTATTACTTTGTGAAATTTTATGGTAAATAAAAGATTAATCAATTCCATAGTGACCTAGTCATTGTTTTAATATAAAATCATAGTTGTATTTTATCCAAGTTACTGGAATTTTTAAGTTTTCTATGAGTGTAAGAAAAAGTCACATCAAGATCTTCAGTTGAAAAAAAAAAAAAAAAAAAATCTTCAGTTGATTATTCTTTTCTTTTTTTTTTTTTTTTTTTTTTTTGTGGCTGACTCAGCCCACCCTGGAGGCCAGGCTGGCGCTGGCATGTGGTGGGGATCAAACTACAGTCCTTGCTCAGCATTTGCCTAAGCTAGCCTAAGCTTGCCAAAGCAGGCTTTAGACCGCTGAGTTATCTCGCCAGCCCATGTCTTTCAACGACTGAGAGACTTCCTTCCTTTGTTCTTTTGTTAATTTGTTTTTGAGACAGGGTCTTGCTATGTAGTTAAGACTGGCCTTGAACTTGCAATGATTCTTCTGGACTATAGGTGAGCTGCCCACCTGCCCAGCTGTACAGCTGACAGACTTTCAGAAGCCCCTGGCAGAGCTGGACTCTAGCTCAGTGGTAGGGCCCTTGTCTCTCATGTTGAAGGCCCTGGGTTTGACACCCATTACAGCCAAAAACACCAGAAAGCCAAAGATTAAAAAATCCTTCAGTTTTCCTGCTGTTTTTATCTTCTAGTGCTTGTTCCAGTTGCTTGTAAATATTTCCCATAGTAGAAAACCTGGGAAGCCAGCCATTGCATCAGTCTCGGTCAGCACCCAACATGGCTCCATTCTGCAAATTAATAATACATTGGAAGAAAAGGAAGTTTGTAGGTTTGTGCCTGCTACTATTAGTCTAACAGAAGATTGCATTTTTTCTTTGCTTTGCATTTCTGTATGATTTTGTTTTTCATGTTTTTAAAATATCTTCCTTCTTTCTCCCTCCCTCTTCTCCTCCCCTCCTCTTTCTTTTTTTGTCTCTTCCCTTCCCCTGTCCCTTCCCTTCCCTCCTCTCCCCTTCTTTGAGATTGGGTCTGTATAGGCTAGGTTGTCTCAAACTCACTCCTCTTGCCTCTGCTACCATGCATGACTAAACTATTTTTCTTTATTTCTCTTGATCTGTACTGAGGAATGCATATCATTCTGTCTTGATGACTTTTGTAAAGTACAACTCTATATCCTAGTCTAACTATTTGTCTTAATTTTATCTCATCTCTATAGGTTGGAATATAGATTTGGAGAATTTGGGAACTATTCTCTCTTGGTAAAGCACAACCACAGTGGAGTCAATGAAATAGCCTGCGATCTGGTTGTTAATGAGAATCCAGTTGACAGTAATCTTCGTATGTACATGTTCTTTGTTGAGTTTTTTAATTGAATTTTCAGATTTTAGGTTTTGACTATTTGTAAAGTGAAGCAGTTCACAGTACATTTTATAATTAAAAACCTAGACTATGGATTATCTATGCCATTTAGTTTAGTTTTTTTTTTTTTAATTTTAGGGAACAATCTACAGGGTGTTCAGGGTGTCACTACTAGATCGGACTTGTAGTGATCTGCCTGTTTACAGCCTCCCAAGAGCTGGGATTACAGGTGTCCACCACCACACCCAATCTCAAGAGTTCATCCTCGGGGCCAGGGAGATGGCTCAGTAGAATAAGTGCTTGCCTGGCAAGCTCAAGGGCCTGAGTTCAATCCTTGGTTCAACAAAAAAAAAAAAAAAAAAAAAGAGTTCATTCTTATCAACTAGGACTATTTGGTTACCCTGAATTACGTTAAGACAGGAAAAGCAGGAGATAAACCTTTAAATCTTTCCTTACAACTAACAATTTTAAATTACTACAAAAAGCATGTGGCCATTATTCCCAAAGGAGACCAAAATATTGGGAATTTTTGTTTCTTGAGAGAATTCCAGTTTAATGTTGCAGAATGGTAGGATATTTAGCAGGTAACACCTGTTAATTGAGAGAGGAACTTTGTATCAAAGGGATCCAGGTTTTACCAGCCCACAGTGCTACCTCCTTAGTTTTAGGGAATTATTGTTAATGTTGTGAGACATTGTAATTTAATGACAGAAAATATATTTTAAAGAAATTTTCAATTTTGAAATAGTTTAACAGTTACAGAATGTTTCAAGTAAAGAGTTTCTAAATAGGCATCAACTTGCTTTCCTTATGTCCTTTAATTTTATGAGAGTATAGTTACCCCACATACTATTACTGAGATCAGGAACTTCACATTCATAAAGTACTGGTCTGTAATCTTTTTTAGCTTTCTCTAATTGTTCATTTCAATCTCCTTTCTTTTAATCTATAGTTCACTCAAAGATGTCATATTGCATTTAGTTTTCAGATATCCTTCATCTTCAGCCTAGGACATTTCTTCATACTTTATTTTTCATGATCATGGTAGTTTTGCCTTTTTTTTTTTTTTTTTTTTTTTTTGTAGTTCTGAAGGCTAGTTATTTTGTAGAAGTTTTGCGTTGTTAGGTGGAATACTGCCCATCCTTTTCAGTGCACTATTTTGAGTTACAGGAAGTTAATGTCCCTTTTACATTACAGGTCCATGTGCATTAGGAGTACTTACGGAAAAATGTAGGGATGAAGTGATATGATGTCTAGAATATGTTTTAAAATACATTAGCCAAATAAGGAGAAGAGAATAATAAATGAAACAAGCAGTAACATCTTTTTTTTTGTGGTGCCGGGCTTAGAACTCAGGGCTTTGCTCATGTTAGGCAAGTGCTCTACCATTAGATTATACCACAGCCCCAAGAATGGCAATATTTGATAATTCTAGAGTCTGAATTGTGGGCTCAAGGGAAATTATACAATTTTCTGTACTTTTGTATAGATTTTCTATTTTTTAAATAAAAATTAGTATTCCCTTCATGAAATGTTTTTAATTATTTATGGGAAATTTAACATAAGAAAGAGGCATTTTCCCTCATTTGTTTCATTTTTTCTGAGTTGAAAACTTTTAATTTATTGAAACTTGTTTATATATTGTTTCATTTTTCATTGGTAGATTAAGTGTAATGCCTTGACAAAAATTGATGCTTATGATGACATTTTTGATGAAGATCTTTTCTTTCTGTAGCTGTGATTGTTGCATTCCTTGTTGGTCTAGTGGTCATCATTGCAGTATTCTTCCTAAGGTTCTTGCTGAGGTAAGGTGCTGGGGAGGACACAACTGGGGAAAGTAGAACACAGAGATTATATATTTATTTATTTATTTACATTTATTTATTGCATGTGTGTGTGTGTGTGTGTGTGTGTGTGGCCAGCTCAGCCCACCTGGGGGTGGGGCTGGCTGGCATGTGGTGCTGGGGGATTGAATCGCGGTCCCTGTGCTTTGCTATGCTTGTTTTAAGTAGGTGCTTTAGACCACTGAGCCATCTCTCCAGCCCCGAGATTATATATTTAGAAAGGACAGTTTGATCCCTCAAATGATTATTGTTCTGTCTAGATGGTGTTATGCAAAGACCATTATTCTTTGATTAACCTGTGTTCACCTTGTCTGTTGTAGTTTTGGGTGTCAGAGAGTAAGTGTAGACTAAGACATGGTCTCTGAATATAGGAAAAAGATACAGAAGGTTTCAGTGAGTTTTTGCCTTTTTTTCACTTGGGCATAAATGAAGAAATTCCTTGAGAAGTAATTATTTCCTAAAGGACCTCCTGTTCAGTGAGTGCAAGTGGCTTGTGATCTCTTCCCTCTCCACCTCTGAGGCCACCCTGTAGTCTAGTTTGCTTGCTACCTGCCTGCACCTAGACTGGAGCCTGGTGGTAGAGGTAGAAGATGAAGGCCTGACCCTCAGGTCCAAAGCACTGATTCCTTTTCTCTGTACACAGTGAGACAGTTTGCAGAGGAATTTGCTCTTTATCTGCCCAGCTAACAATAATTCTCATCAGTCAATTAGTTTAGGGAAAAAAAGATAGATAGATAGATAGATAGATAGATAGATAGATAGATAGAGAAAAATATAGATAGATAGATAGATAGTTAGATAGATAGATAGATTGATTGATTTAGGCTTGGTTTTATTTAGTCAGCATTAGGGAAAAGTTCTTGAATGCTTTTAAAGGAGTGAAATCAGATTGAATTTTCATGTGTTTATCCTGTTAGAGTCTCAGGAAGGACCACATGATTTTACTGGTGATCTTTATCTAGATTGGAAGAACTAACACCTAACTTTTAAGTAGACTACCATAAACTTTGCAATTTTACTGGCTTGATACATCTTAGAAATAGTTTAATTACATGTATGAGAAACCTGACAGTGTATAAGGGTAAAATAATTACTAGGGGGCCCCTACTCTTAGGGACAGCTAGAATTTTGGCAGAAGAGTTCTATTTCTTTGGATTAAAGTGTTATTTTGTGAGTCTTTTGATAAGATGTATATGGTATTCCAGTCCAGGGTATTAGTGTGCCTTCATTGGTGTTCATGTGCATGGTTCTGTTCACCACTTTTTAAAGTAATTGACAGCTGTGACCACATATTTGCAAAGAAAAGAAATTCCATCTAGCACTGCTGTGGAATTGAGGTCCTCTTTACACATGATTCTGCCTTTCCTGCCTGGGGGATGAATGTCATTGTCAGCAGAGCTACAGTTCCTCCTTTCTTGTCCATAGCTTCCTGACACACCCATGTCCACAGAAGTTCTGTTGTTCTGTAGAGAAAAAGCAGAAAAAAATAAAAAATGTCCTTTCCTTTTACTTGAGAACAAGCATGTAGGAGAGAATTTAGTGGGGTTTTTGGTTTGCTTTTTTTTTTTTAAAGTATTATAGGTTTAATATTCTGATTTTATTTATTTTAAAGAGAATAAAGATAATAAACATTAGAAACAATATCTAATATCAAAAAAGAAAATGATAGGAATTCAAAATAGTTTCAAGGTATGCAACCTGGCTGAAAAGGTTTCTCTCCAGTATGAACTCTCAGATGCTGGGCAAGGTGTGCATACTGGCTGAAGGTTTTCCTACGTTCTTTACATTCATAGGGTCAAGCTCCAGTATGAATTATCTGATGTACAATTAAGTATTTGACATTCTTAAAATAAATGAAGATAACTTCTCCTTTTTGATCTTAAGTATGTCTGTTTTTGTCTTTTGCATGTGATGCTGATGTTAGCAATGGGAGTAGAGTAGAAATGGGAGTTGTATTATAGGGGGAGAAAGAGAAATTACAAATAAATGCATTAGATGGATGGATTATATTCTGATATTGATCTTAATCAATTGAACTGTAAAGACAACAAAATAAAACAAACAAAAAAAATGAGATCAGTAAACTGAATTGGATGTGTGATATTAAGGAATTATTGCTAACATTTTAAAATATGATAATGGTTATCATAATTATTTTTAGAAATAAAATAGTTCATATCTCTTAGAGATACAAACAGTAGTATAGATGAAATGATATGATCTGGGATTTTCTGTAAAATAATCTGGCCAAGACAGGGTAGGAATACAGGTGACATAAGGTTAGTTGTGGTATTTGTTGAACTGAATGATGGTGGTTCATTGTACTAATTTCTTTCCCTGTATGTGCTTGAAACTTTCCATGACAAAAAGAAGAGTGGAGCTTCTGTACATTAGATAATTCAGATGTGGCAAAGTTAATGCAAAATTTGTTGACTTTCTGAAAGTTTTTTCTCTAAGTTATTGATTTCATTTAAAAATAATATGTTTTTCTTTTAATATTGATGTATAGTAAGTCCAAGACTCAACAAACAGGTTTGGAGAACATTTTTAAGTTGGATTTGTTTGTAAGTTGGACAAAGTATGTCTTACACAGTACATTTACATAATATATATAAGTTGTGTAAGTCAAATATTTGTATATTTGTAATACATATTTGTAATATATGTAAGTCAAATATTTGTAAGTTGGGGACTTACTATAAATACATTTCATATAATCTGGATTTAAAAAAATTAAATCATATGAAAAGAAAAAAGTCAGTCATTAATTATTGCAGTCACTGCAAGGTTGCTTGTGTGCTTTCTCAGTGTGTACCCATGTATGTCTATATGGTGGCAGTCAAACACAGATGGAGGATTTCGTCTTTTTTTTTTAAACTGGGGATTGAACTCAAGTCCTTGAATGTGCTTGTGTTTGATCCCTAACCCTTTGCATTTTATTTTGAGACAGCATCTCATTAAGTTTTTCAGTCTTGGCTCCTGCCTTAGCCTCTTGCTTAACTGATTTTTGCTTTTTGTATATAATAGTTTATCCTAATATTTCCTTGTGTGGACAAAGTCTTACTATTTTTGGCAGTCCTGGGGATTGAACTCTGGGCCTGTATGTAGAGCTGCAAATGTAAAGTCTTATAAAAGACTTTACATTTGCCTTTTTTTTTTTTTTTTTTTTTTTTTTTTGATTCTCAGGCTCAGTAGGTTGAACAGATGAATTTAAACTTGGCAAT